AAAAAGGTCATTTAGAAATGAGACTTTCTTTTTCTTCATGATTTGTTTTTACAGAATTTCCTTAAACTTGATTGTGTAGGAAGCTATTTGCTTAAAGACAAATCCGTTCCTGGATACAACCAATACTACACAACGACTAAAGTTTCTTGCTAAAGAAGAAAACGGCTTGCCCTTGGTAAGGTTTGGAACTTCACGAACTTTCGACTCGTTAACCACTTGACCATGCCGCAACTTCATAAATGATTGCCAGTTTTTCAGAAATGATTCTAGTTTTGTTAAATCTGATGTTTTACCTGGGCTTAAAGTAGAGGAATGTTCCCATTGCAGCTAAAGTTGCAACAACAAGAACGCAACATGACGCAATCACCACTGTGAATAGAAATAAATAACAAGTTATTATAATAACGGCATGGGAATAGACAACATAATGTATTTAAATTGTGCATAATATGCTTTAACGGTACCATAAACGCGGTAATTTAACGGTACCGTAGACAGATGCAGTAGACGCAGCAGATGTTGAAGCCTAATTAAACATTTTCTCTATTCAAAATTTAACTTGTGAATAAGTTTGGAAATAACACAAGTATAGACTAATCATATGATGACATATAAATCCATTCATTTGTGATGAAGAGGACAACATCAATGGTTTCGGAAGTGGTAAATGAGTTATTCATTACTCTAAAGTATTTATTCATCCAATTACTTGAAATAAGATTACTTCCAAATCTTGTCTGGTATCCATTACTAGTACGTAAAATTCGAAAACTTCAAAATCTGGTATCCAAACATCTTGAATTATAATACTAGAACATGTAGGGAAGTATCCATCTTCTTGAAAATGTAGTCTACTATTCAATCAATAGAACTGCTTAACAATTTAGAGTTATAAGATAATTTTCATTCATAATAAAAGAAATTATTATCAGCATTATTTAAAGTAATAAATTTTCTTCAAATAATTTAGGTTCTCTACGAATAGTCTTTGTTTACCTAATATGCGATCATCTAATCCGGAAGTAACTGAAATAATAAAAAAGAAGACGTATCATAAAAAAGATACACGGCCGGAGTAAAACTGTGAAACTATCAGTTTTCGATACATTTGGAAATGTTAGCAATGCTGACATAATAATTTCCTGTAGCTAAGAAAGAAAAAAAAAACATTTTGTAAACATAGAAATTAAATCATAAGCATACTGAAATTTGTGTTTTTTCAAAGAATGAAAACTTCTATTTTACAGTATTCATTTACGTGTCCCTAATACATATTTTACGTTTGATTTCATGAATTTTGTTATCATATGCATATTGAAACTATTATTAAAATAAATACATATGGAACATTGCAAATAGAAATGAAATAATCAGATAGTTTAAAATCAACAAACTACTTATAAATGATTTAACTTTCATTAATGCAAACAGTTATGATGAAAAGAAAAATATAAAATAAAGTAAAACAATTATTAATTGGCCGTTGCTTCACAAAACAAAAACAATTGTGATATACAAGTGGTTCATAACATTCACCCACCACATTAATTGTTTGAAAGTTTGGGGGATCTGAAGCTAAACTTGAACTCCACATACATATTTTGTACTGATTAATTTCGTTACAATTTATTTTTTATCTGAATATAAATTGTTTTTTATATACTGATGTCATTTTACGTTAAAATACGAAAAAAAAACGCAAGTAGCCTTTCTTAAGTAAAATACTTCTGTTAAAATTGAAAGAATGATCGATGGTAAGATTAAACAATGGTTATAAATCTTGAAAAATATCAGATGTATTTGTTCCTTTCATGTGTCGGTAAGGGAACTCGATTTCTAACTCGGTAAGTTCTTGTTCAATATATACTCCTATAAAATAAGTTCCTATGTAAAAAAATCAATAAGTGATAATTCTACCACAAATACTAACGTTTACAGGAATGACCGTCACTGTATATCTCAAAACCGTCTTTGCATCCGCATGTAAAAGATCCTTGATTATTTGTGCATGTCTGCTCGCAAGTTGACGTACGAATTAAGCATTCGTCTATATCTGAAAAAGGGCAACTTATCATTTTCATTTCAACCACCAATAGTTCATGTAAATCAGTATATCACGTGTATTATGCTAATAAACCTATATGTATTCAATATTTATATTATTGTTGGTATAACAATACAAGAGGGCCATGATGGGCCTCAGTCGCTCACCAGAAACAACTGCTTTTCAGTGTTGAAATGTCAATATATTCTAAAATCAAATTTGAGCATAGAATATGTTTAAACAATAATTTGAAGAAATGCCATGACCTGGGGTATTTAAGCTTTAGCTTAAACTGGGCTAATCAAATTAATATGAGCAAACTTGATAAAAGACTACCTAAGAATGCTACAAAGTTTGGTGATCCTCTATCAATTATTTCAGTAGGAAATGATGTTCAAAGGTTTTTTCTATTTTTAGCTTTAGTGGCCCCTAAAAGGGGCTAATCAAATTAATATAAGCAAACTTGATAAAATAGTACCCAAGAATGCTACAGACAAAGTTTGGTGATCATCCATCAATTGGTTCTGAAGTAGAAGATGTCTAAAGGTTTTTTTCTATTTTTAGCTTTAGCGGCCCCTAAAAGGGGCCAATCAAATTAATATGAGCAAACTTGATAAAAGAATACCCAAAAAATGCTACAGACAAAGTTTGGTGATCATCCATTAACTAGTTCTGTAGGAAAAGATGTTTAAACGTATTTTTATTTTTAATTTTAGCGGCGCCTAAAAGGGGTTAATCAAATTAAGATGAGCAAACTTGATAAATGACTACCCAAGTATGCTACAGACAAAGTTTGGTGATCATCCATCAATAAGTTCTCTAGAAATAGACATTTAACGGTATTTCTATTTTTAGCCCAAGAGACCCCTAAAAGAGGCCAATCAAAATAATACTAGCAAACTTGATAAAAGACTACCCAACAATGCTACAGACAAAGTTTGGTGATCATCAATCAATTAGTTCTCTAGAAATAGACATTTTAAGGTATTTCTATTTTTAGGCTTTTGCGGCGCTTAAAAGGGGCCAATCAAATTAATATGAGCAAACTTGATATAACACTTCCCGAGAATACTACCGACAAAGTTTGCTGATCATCCATCATTTAGTTCTGTAGGAGAAGATGTTTAAAGGTTTTTCTATTTTTAGCCCAAGAGACGACCCCTAAAAGGGGCAAATCAAAATAATATGAGCAACTTGATAAAAGACTACCCAAGAATGCTACAGACAAAGTTTGGTGATCATCCATCAATTAATTCTCTAGAAATAGACATTTTACGGTATTTCTATTTTTAGCTTTAGCGGCCCCTAAAAGGGGCCAATCAAATTAATATGAGCAAACTTGATAAAACACTACCCAAGAATGTTGCAGACAAAGTTTGGTGATCATCCATCAATTAGTTCTGTAGGAGAAGATGTTTAAAGGTTTTTCTATTTTTAGCCAAAGAGACCCCTAAAAGGGGCCAATCAAAATAATATGAGCAAACTTGATATAAGACTACCCAAGAATGCTACAGACAAAGTTTGGTGACCATCCATCAATTAATTCTCTAGAAATAGACATTTAACGGTATTTCTATTTTTAGCCCAAGAGACCCCTAAAAGGGGCCAATCAAAATAATATGAGCAAACTTGATAAAAGACTACCCAATAATGCTACAGACAAAGTTTGGTGATCATCCATGAATTAGTTCTCTAGAAATAGACATTTTAATTTATTTCTGTTTTTAGCTTTTGCGGCCCCTAAAAGGGGCCAATCAAATTAATATGAGCAAACTTGATAGAACACTACCCGAGAATGCTACCGACAAAGTTTGGTGATCATCCATCAATTAGTTCTGTAGGAGAAGATGTTTAAAGGTTTTTCTATTTTTAGCCAAAGAGACCCCTAAAAGGGGCCAATCAAAATAATTTGAGCAAACTTGATAAAAGACTACCCAAGAATGCTACAGACAAAGTTTGGTGATCATCCATCAATTAGTTCTCTAGAAATAGACATTTAACGGTATTTCTATTTTTAGCTTTAGCGGCCCCTAAAAGGGGCCAATCAAATTAATATGAGCAAACTTGATATACACTACCCAATAATGCTAAAAACAAAGTTTGGTGATCATCCATCAATAAGTTCTGTAGGAAAAGATGTTTAAAGGTTTTTCTATTTTTAGCCCAAGAGTCCCCTAAAAGGGGCCAATCAAAATAATATGAGCAAACTTGAAAAAAGTCTACCCAAGAATGCTACATACAAAGTTTGGTGACCATCCATCAATTAGTTCTCTAGAAATAGACATTTAACGGTATTTCTATTTTTAGCTTTAGCGGCCCCTAAAAGGGGCCAATCAAACTAATATGAGCAAACTTGATAAAACACTACCAAAGAATGCTAAAGACAAAGTTTGGTGATCATCCATCAATTAGTTCTGTAGGAGAAGATGTTTAAAGGATTTTTCTATTTTTAGTCCTAGAGACCCCTAAAAGGGGCCAATCAAAATAATATTAACCACTTGATAAAAGACTACCTAAGAATGCTACAGACAAAGTTTGGTGATCATCCATCAATTAGTTCTGTAGAAATAGACGTTTAAAGGTTTTTCTATTTTTAGCCTTAGCGGCCCCTAAAAGGGTCCAATCAAATTCATATGAGCAAACTTGATAAAAGACTACCCAAGAATGAATGCTTCAGACAAAGTTTGGTGATCATCCATCCATTAGTTCTGTAAAAGAAGATGTTTAAAGGTTTTTCTTTTTTTAGCCCTAGAGACCCCTTAAAAGGGCCAATCAAATTAATATGAGCAAACTTGATAAAAGGCTACCCAAGAATGCTACAGACAAAGTTTGGTGATCATCCATCTATTAGTTCTGTAGAAGAAGATGTTTAAAGGTTTTTCTATTTTTAGCTCTGCTGACCCCTAAAAGGGGCCAATTGAAATGACATGAGCAAATTCAAGTGTGACTGTCACAAGGATGCTACAGACCAAATTTAAAGTAAATCTGCTAAGTAGTTTCAGAGAAGAAGACGATTGTTGACGCATGACGACGGACGCCGGAGCATCCCCCTTTGATACTAATAGCTCACCCTGAGCTTTCGGCTCTGGTGAGCTAAAATATTAGACAAAGAGTTGTTTCTGGCCTTGAACACCACCTGCTTGATGACGATCAAAATATTTGAAAAATATGATCGTTATCAAAATCAAAATGAAAACAACTATTAAGTAATAAAAAACAATAAACCACAAAACAAACGACTTCATACAATTAAAGTGAAATGGTTACCATCACAATTCCTGCGATCTGCATTGAGTCTGTAACCATCGAAACAATAACAAATATAAGACCCAACCAAGTTTTCACAAATATGTTCACATCCGCCATTCTCCAGTTGGCATTCATCGTCATCTGATATTACAAATATTAAGAAATATTGTTTCATACATCCTCTGTAATATCTATAATACATCATTTATATATCTATTTTACAGTATGTAATGGGATTTTCTATGCCACTACAATAGGGTGAAAAATGTAACCAAAAAGTACCCAAAAACAACGTACACGTAGAAGTCAATTAAATGGCAAATTGGTGTTTCTATTTATTTCTGCTTCTTTAAAATGTTCTTTATTGAAAACAGAACAGCCAAAAGATTAAAATTGTAAAAAAGATGTGCAAAAATAACAGAAATAGAAAAATACAGAAATAAATATAAAACTTACAATTTCAGAATGTGAATAAAACAATTACATATTTTACAATAATTGCAGTTTTTGTTTTTGACATTGACTGATGAAAAAATCGAACCTCATTCCCATAAAAATTAAAAGTTAAACTGTAACTTTAATATTAATACGTTGAAATGTTTAGATAAAAAAGATCTCTAAAACATGTGAGAAGTAAAACAACAGCTGTCAAAATAATGAATGCAGATTTATTAGAGGATGGCAACATCTTTTTAAATTAAACTTTTGTTGGCTTTATGCAGTGTGTAAAGGAAGGGTTCCCGTATCATTTATAGTTAGGTACAATTATGCAAAAATACCGATGCAAACTTGAGAAAAAGCGTTGCATTTGCGGATGTAAATAAAAGATATTTTGCTATTTTATGTATTATATAAAAATTCGTCAATTCTTTGCAGCTTTTCACAAGTATATATTAATCATTGTGTTTATATGTAGACCTTTATATGAATTTATTGAAATTACCGTAGGTAAAGACTTGAAGGTAGGTGTCTGTCGATGTTAGATTAGCAACAATATTCCCAACCTCACACCTATAAACGCCGCTGTCATTTGCTGAAACATCATTAATTACCAATTGCATCGCTGTTTCGTTTGGTAATAGGTTGTCTTCCATAAACCATTTTATATTTGGAAACGGGGATCCGGTAACATTGCATGTAAATAACACATCTGTACCATTAAGTACTGTTTGATTTTTCAACTCCGTTAAAAATATAGGTGCTTCTGAGCAGAATGGGTTAGCTTCGATGATAAATGTTATGTTTGACATGATACTATCCATTGCGGCTGCTGATTCTTCAATCAATGACGACTGATTTTGAAATAATTCTATCAAAATGTATTCTAAATCAAGAATAGCTTTTCGGATGTTGTCTACATTTGGAATATCCTCATCTTCAAATGAAGTATATAATTCGGATATGGCATATAGGACACAGTCTTTAAATCCATCGCACTCTGAAACATTAAAATACGCGCTTGAAATATTTGACATTTCATCCAACCAAATTTCTAGAAAATTTATTGACTCTATTGATTCTTTTTCTGCAATCATTGACTCCATTACCAGTGTAGCTGACGAATTTATTTCCCGAAGAAGCGGGTCATCAGCAAGGGCAGCTTTTGATTCATTTAATGCTCTATTCAAGTCATCTTCTGTCATGTTATAATATCGTTCTGCATATTCTTTACTTATCCCTGCATTATCTAAAGTCATATTTTCCGCCAGGCCCTCAATTGTAAACTGTCGAAGCTGATTATTAACAATGGCTAATTCATCCATATAGGTTTTTGATTCATTCACAACTTCATGCAATGACCCTAACGCATCGTTCATAAATTTCATAACATGAGTGGTTCTTTTACATTTTTCTTTGAAAATTATTGATCGACTTTCATAATCGGTATTAGTATGATTTTCAAATCCAAGAATTTCTTCAACAATATCTATGAGTTCATTGCTTTCATTTGAAAATTGATAGGTACCGTTGTCAGTATCAGCTTCTCTGATATTTCGCAGATACGCGTGCATTTTAGCAGATGTTTTGAAATCTAGCTCTCTACGTCTTCTACCTATTTCTCCTATCAATTTACTTAGAATGTCAATCGTTGCTCGTGCTGCATTCCATAAACTTTGTACTATATTTTTAAAGTTTACTCTTATTTTGATAGTTTTCCAACCTAATCGGAAAGCATTTACATCGCAAGAAATATCAAATACCGATAGGTCATGGGTCGACAATTCCACATTAAAGCCACAATTTCTGACATCAAGCAAAATTTTCAGTCCAAAATCTATAACAAACTCGTAAATTTTAGCAGCAACACCAATAGCGACTTTAACTCCTTCAAGAACAGCCTTTGCTGCTTCAAGAACACCTTTTGAAAATTCTAATCCTAATTTGGCAACATCAAGCAAACCAACAGCAACATCCAAAACGACACGTGACTTATCAACAACAAACTGGGATGCTGATACCGCAGCTTTTGCTACATCAAATGCAAACATAGGAACTCTTACAAATAGCTTGGCTGCCTCTAAAGCTAAATAAGCAGCTTTTCTTATTACTCTGCACGCCACGTTTGCACCAACACATATTGGATCAGGAACTTTAATCATGCAGCTTGTATAGGTTAGGCACCGATATGACAACCAGCCTTTGCGGCAAGTTCTCCATTTAAATCCTGGTATACATAAGCTCCTGCAAGATCGAATTCGACAAAGATTATCGACCTTCCTCTGAGCATCACTGAGTTTCCTTAATGCTTCTTCGTATGGTTTCTTGGCATCATCTAGCTTGTCCTTTGCTCTTTCTAGTGCGGCAACAGCTCTATCAAACTTTTCATTTGCACCTTTTACAACTGATTTCTTTTCCTCAAGCCAGTCTTGAGCTTTTGAAAGCCCTGCTTGTGCAGCTTTGAGGCCTTCTTGTGATTGGCTTAAGCGTTTTGTCGCCATATCTGCAATCGTGTTTACTACTTTTTTCAAGGCATCTAAATAACTGTCTTGAAATGATTCGCTTCTGGTCTGAATTTGACGCCTTTTTCTGCTTTTTGCCAGAAAACGACCACTTACTTTGTAGACAATGTGGTGCCATTCTGATTTTATTTCTGCAGAAATATCTAACTGTGCCAAGAAAATGTCCCAAACATTACCTTCCATGTAAAGGTATAAGCCTTTATTGGTGATAAATAAATCAGTCGTGACTGTTATTCCTAAACACTTAACAAATGCTTGAAGTTGTAAGGAAAATTTATCTTTATCTGCTGACAGAGCGCCGCCTATACCTGCTCCAGGTTGAATCTTTATGAATTTATAAACAAATTCAAATGATGCCCTCCCTATAAATCTTACTGCCTTTTCGCCTTCAAACTGTTTACGGATAACATCAAAACGACTACAATTAAAAAGATGCTCGACAGAATAAACAAATTCTAAATCAAATTCTCCTAAGATAAGACCTTTGCATTTTACATTTGTTCTGTATTTCAGTCCGAAACCTGTATATCCGGATTCCGGCGTGTTCTTTATGACCAAAGAATTTGTCACCTTTTCCATTGCATTCTTAAGATTAATTTTTACAAAATTTATCTCATCTTCTATGATATCTCTGAAAAGTTTGAATGCATTTTGAGCGATAAATTCTGTATCGTCTAAGAATATTTTAATCTTATGTTCTACAGTTTGGTACTCCTGCCACAGCTGTTCGACAAGACGTTTCTTTGTTTTCAAGTCACCTGATAGATTGCCATCTAATAAATCATTTACAAGACTTTTCATAGTTTGAAAGTTTAGTTCAATATCATTAGCAAGCATCAATGTGGAGTTTCTAAATATTATTCCTAAATTTTTAAGTTCTGTTCTAAAACGGCCTTTCAATCGATCTAATAGATCTGTAAAGTTTATGATATGTTCTTTAATATTGATGTCAACAGCCGCTTGTAGGGGCTCGTATGTAACGAATCCGAAGGCTTCGTGAATATTGGCTACACCCCATTCCGATAACAATGGAACATCCTTAAAAGGATTGATTTCGAGAAGGAAGGAAAAGAAGACTCCCGGAGGATTTGCGTTTTCCCCACACCAAACTCGTTGAGGACCTATGATAGAGAAATGTACATTTTAATGTTTGGATATTTTGGTACCAATAATAAAACTTGGACTATCACATGAGTTAAAACATTAAATGCAATATTTCGAATAAATATTTGATTTAGAATATTAACTATAACAAGAGCTATGTTAGCATGGCCATCCCCGTCGAATCTATTTGCTCAATGGAAGAATGTATATGTAGTAGAGCAGAATAATTCAATTTTTAGAGGTCTTTTGGTAATGAAAACTGATGGTTGAAGTGATTACAGATTTGAAACTGATTGTGAATACTGATGGCTGAAAATAAGAAAGGGCAATAACTGAAAAAATAATGCAGGGTAGGTTTTCATTCTTGTGCACTCCTTCTCAATAAGATCTATCATCCTATGAAATTTCAAGTTGATACCTCTAACACTTTTGAGATAAGCCCTTGACAAAAACTATGAAAAATAACAAAGGGCAATAAATCAAAAATTATAAAGGGTAGAGCTATCATTCTTGTGCACAGCATTCCTCCTCAATAAGATAAATACACCTAAAAAGTTTCATGTTGACATCTCAAAGACTTTTTGTGTTATGCTCCACTCACGTGAAAAATTAAGTTTTAAAAATAACAAAAGGCAATTATTGAAAAATAATGCAGGGCAGGTAATCATTTAAGTTTTAAGTTGATACCTCTCACACCTTTTGAGATAAGCTCCGGACAAAAAGTATGAAAAATAACAAAAAGCAATAACACAAAAATTATAAAGGGTATAGTTATCGTGAGATCTTTCGACCCATGAAGTTTCATGTTGCTATCTCAAAGGCTTTTTGAGTTATGCTCTGGAAAAAAATTAAGTTTGAAAAATAACAGAGGCCAATAACTGAAAAAAAATGCAGGGTAAAGTTATCATTCTTATGCACTGCACTCCTCCTCAATATGATCTATCCACCTATGAAGTTTCAAGTTGATACCTCAAATACTTTTTGAGATATGCTCCGAACAAAAATGTCGGACGGGAGGTTGAATGGATGGACGGACGGAAGGACAGATGGACGGAGACTATTTCTATACTATTTTTCTGAAAGGCGGCGGGGGATAAAGATGTCACAAACACGTAACCTCACTTAGGTAGGAAATTTATATATTTTATAGTATCTTTCTAACTTTTAAATGTATTACCGAAAATTACCGAATCAGTTCATACTTTTAGGCGCGGGGTACGAACCGGCTTTGAGACCTGCTATAGGAATTAATATTTCTATCTTTATTTTAGTTAACAATTGCAAACTTTTATATAAAAGTTTTATCCATACTTTGGTGATAGTTTACAATGAAAAAAAACTTATCATTATTTAAAATTCAACACTGATAAGAAGCTAAATCTACACGCTTAGTTTGGTCTATATAGAAAACGAGTTTTTGACATGAGCCGTTTGTGATGTGCGCGTTCTTCGAAACGCTATAAAAATAAAACATTGTGTGTGAAATATTCCGCGAAAATTGAAACAATTTAAGACCCGCAAAACAAACAATATTTTGGAAAAGTATATCAGTCCGTACCTGTCATTGATTTTGGTCAGTCGTTAAAGTGACATTATGCCCATCCAAGATTATATAGTGAGTGAACGGGTGAAAGTCAAAACTAAGTTTTCATTTTCCAATACTTCCTTTAAATTTTATAATTAAGTTCGCATAAACAATTAAACACAGATCCAAACGAAATTTCTGTTAATGTCCATTAGGATTTACCTATAAACCTGAGTTTATAAAAAGACTGGGGCAATTTTTTTATATTTTAGACAGATTTATAATTTTATCCTAAACATGTCCAATATCAACTGATGGTCAAACACCATTTTGACAGTATATCTTTTCAAATATAAAGTCAATTCAGCTCAACTTGACCATGGAAATATGAGCATAATGTCACTTTAAAGTTAATTTTCTTTCGGAATGGTGATTATTATATTCTTAACTTTTGCGTTGATATTGACAGGTATTTCAATGCAATGGTATTATCAAGATTCATAATTAAATTATTGTATATTGTATAAAAAGGTTACATTAACCTTTAGAATTCGTTAAAATAATGTTCAAATACTTACCACCAACTGATAGATACATGTTCATTTCGGATGTTATAAGACTTTTAAATGTAATGGAATATTCTTTGCCAAAAACTTTGAATTTAATTGTAGGCGATGCTGATAAGCTCATACGTATATAGGTGTTCCATTCGTCCAGAAAAATGGATGTAAGCATCTGTTTGATAAAAACAACAAAAATGTTTTTCAAATATATCTTAAGGACAAAGGATCTCCGTTTATATGGACAACAGTTGTTGTGCTACTAATTAATATTGTTTAATGTCTAATTATAAAGTTGTATTAAGTTCGTGTTTTTTTTCAGAAACAATATACAGGTATGTTAAATGTAATAATTTGAACATAACTCCAAATTATAGAAATTTCGTATGGTATGCAAACAAGTATGTATTAATATGACAAATACTAAATCAGAATATCCCTTTTACGTTTTAGAGATTCTGCTCATAATTTAATGACTGGAGAAGGCAGAATGAATGTTGAAAAGAAAAAAAGAGAAGATTTTATTTTAAATGTAATATGAATGTTGTGGAAACTGAATAACATTTTTAAATTGCTTGTCCATATTAGTTTGATCTTAGAATATAATATTTACCAAAATACTACTGTTCCCGGACAAATGTTCAAAAGTTTAAATTGTTAATGAATAACTCGCAACAGAATGCTATGTATACAGAAAATGTCTAAATATATTTTATTAGCTAAAGCTGATTGCGGCTAATTCGGAACTTTGATTTTTATGTTTTGATTAGTATTTATTTCATGATATGTGATATGTTGAATAACATTACTTTTTGTATTTTTGAATCAGTTTATTTATTTATGGGAACACGCCGTGATTTTTAATTGACTACTTAAAAACTTTCTAAAATACTTTTTACCGGCTTAAAATTAACATATTAGAATAAAATTTCCTTACAATGTCTATATTTGGCATCCCGATGAAAATATCAGCACTTGCATTAACAAGTAATTTGTTGTCATTTTTTAGAACGTCGGCCCCGATCCAAAAGTCTCCTCTTTGAAACACTCTGAAATTATTAATGAAATGATGTTTGTATTAAACCAATGGCAAGCATAAGCACAACAGGTTTTTATGTAAAAAGAAAACAAAATAGTGAAAATTTTTGCAAGAGAATAAACGTCCGATTTTTTAATATTTGTCAAACCTAAAAACAGAGTTTTCCTTGTAAAACTTTGTTCATCCTTATCTCCTTGCGTTTCATGAACATTACCTTAGTTTTGATACAATATGGAAAAGAAGAAGTGGACGCCGGCACCCCGATGAGTTGGTTCAACACACTATTCTTCGAATAATCGAGCTAAATTTGGATCAGTCAGTTATACCCGCAAGCAACGTGTAATGAAAAGAAAGAAATAAATAGAATGGCATATACGGGTGCCGAAACATTGCCTCAACGCAAAATAACAACAGTGTTCTATTTCTTTGAAACCGATAAAAATAAAAAACAACAAAACATTAATAAACAGAAATGGTACAAGGACTACTTACGGGTACTGAAACATTTTGTCACCGTTCCATAACTGAAGTTCAGTTGAATCTTTATGAACATTAATTCCATTATCAATTGAAATTCCAATACCTCGTGGATGTATCGTCAAATCATTTTCTTCTTTCAGCAATTTGAACATATTTATAGTTTCGAGGATGCCCCTTGATTCTTCCGGTACCATGAAAAAGATACTGCCGCCGTTACTTTGACAAAGGTCTACGATAAAACAAAACTTTTGACCTGATAGTATTTTAGGGACCTTTATCATATCTCCGAGAATTTCTAAAGAAAATGATGAACCAAATCTAAACACGCTGTAAAGATGGTCGTCAAAAACAGGTGCCCCCTCACACCAACTAGTCTGTTCCATGTGTCTACCATAAACTAAATCGCTCTTCAGGTCGCGGATAGCAAGAATTGATTCCCGAGTTTTTTCAAACTTGATCCAATTTGGTAAAGCCGGGAACAAGTTCAAAAGATACGTTTTGAGGAAAGAACCAGCTGATATAAATTCAAATATGTCCGATTCGACGAGTTCAAATGATTTACAGTCGGCAGGTGTATCTGAATTCCTGATGATATTACCTTCGCTAGAGTTGTGTTTTGTTCCGTAATTGAGAGAAAATTTACCAGATGAAATTGTAACTTCAAGTCCTTGTATTGACAATGGTAATGATAAATCATTCACCTTGATAAAAACAATACCCAAGGTGAAGGACGTTGAAATATCCGTTGTAAGGCTATACCATTCTGAAGTTGATGTAAGCTGGGTGCTTTGATCTTTACCATCTGTGCAATGTGCTAGTGGCATTACAAAACAGGCCTTAGGTAATTTACCACCCGAAATTTTAAACCGTTCAAAAACAGTGTCTCGGTCACCTGAAAAACAAACCCAACAATAGCATGTTTAATATTTTTACAACGGTAAAACAATTATATCGTATTTTGCATTTGTATGGCAAACATTGTTTTTACAACATCATATAAATGTTTTCTCAAAGGAAAATGATAAACATAGATAAAGATATACCTCCGGTACACGAACGTCCGTCTGCTTGTAACTGACCACCGTCATAACATCCACAATGGTACGACCCGACAGTGTTTATACAAGCATCCTGGCAACCCCCGTTATGAATGGAACATTCATTAACATCTATAAATAGAGATATAACAAATATATTTATTATATACTTATAAATATAATATTGAGGAATACTGCCGAATTTTCTTTCTGTTTTTTTTTTCACTGTAGAAATTATTTCTCACTTCATCAATACATATTTCCCGCATTTTTACAGGTGTCCTGTATGACTACTTACTTCTAAATTCAGAAAATACATAAATCAAAGACCCTAAGGTCAAAAAATAGGAAAGAGTATGTACTAAACAGAAAATTCATTTTTTGTTGCTATGAATACTGGTTTTATTTTCATCTCTTGGTAGGAAAATGATAATATTTCTCTCGCGGCTAACGTGAAATATTTATTTTCATTCCACTCGTTGAAAAACATCACGTATTCATAGCAAAAAAACTTGAATATCCGCTATGAATTTACTTTTAATTTACAATGTCGTTATTTGTTTGCTTGGATATTTCATTAAATATTGAAATATAAATAGAACGCTGGCATTAGGTAATATGTTTATCATGTTTCGCAATAACACGTGTTAAACCTATCATTATGCATGTTGTCTTTTTTCTATAGGATTTTTCAAAATTCGTTCATGTTCTCGCAAAACATTAATTCTCGCATTTTTCTCTTCATATCTTAAAGTAATTCTTGAATAAACTACAGTTTTCTTTAACATATGTGTAAAACAAGAGCCACCGCCGGGCGGGGGCAACGCTCGACTTTTTACTTTTTCTAAAAGCAAACAAAGAAATGTTTGAACAAAATCTTAACGTTTCCTTTTTATAAAATTAATCGGTCTGTCTTGTCACATAAGTTTTGTCTATATATTTTGTATATATAAATATACTAAATTATATATATATATATATATATATATATATATATATATATATATATATATATATATATATATATATATATATATATATATATATATATATATATAAATAGAAACACGCAATTCTATAAATAGAAAATTCTATAAATAGAAACATGCAATTCTATAAATAGAAACACACAATTCTATTAATAGAAAATTTTATAAATAGATACACGTGGTTGAGTCACGTGGTGGAGTCATGTGGAAGAGTCACGTGGCGGAGTCACGTGGCAAAAGCACGTGGTAAAGTCACGTGGTGGTGTCACGTGGTAGAGTCGCGTGGTAGAATAACGTGGTAGAGTCACGTGGTAAAGTCACGTGGTGGAGTCACGTGGTAAAGCCACGTGGTGGAGTCACGTTGTGGAGTCACTTGGTAGAGTCACGTGTTGGAGTCGCGTGGTAAAGTCACGTGGTGGAGTCGCGTGGTAAAGTCACGTGGTGGAGTCGCGTGGTAAAGTCACGTGTGGAGTCACGTAGTGGTGTCACGTGGTGGAGTCACGTGGTGGTGTCACGTGGTGGAGTCACGTGGTGGAGTCATGTGGTGAAGCCACGTGGTGAAGTCATGTGGTAAAGTCACAAGAAGGTCTTGTCCTAAAGTATGTTTTGTTATAATATGAAGTTGATCCCTTCAATAATAGTAAAGTTACAGCCAGTTACAACCAAAACAATGAAAATTTCAATAATTTGAACTTCAAAGTCAAGGTCATTAATAAGTGAAGGTCAAGGTCTGTCTGGTTATTTTTAAGGGTTATCCTTGAAGATTATTATGTTCAAGTTTGAAGACAATCCATTCAAAAATAACAAAGTTACAGCCAATAATAGCCAAAAAAATGAAAATTTCAATAATTTGACCTTCAAAGTCAAGGTCATTTATGAGTGAAGGTCAAGGTCTGTCTGGTATTTTTAAGGGATATCCTTGAAGATTATTATGTTCAAGTTTGAAGACAATCCATTCAAAAAATAACAAAGTTACAGTCAATAACAGCATGAACAAGCAAAATTTGGACTTTTAACCTTGAAGGTCAATGTTATTTATGGATGAAGGTCAAGGTTAGTGTGGTCTACTGAAAGGTCTTGTCCCAAGGGTTGTTGTGGCCAAGTATGAAGACAATACACCAAGAAAATAAAAAAGTTATGATCCAGGTACAAGTTTGCGGACGGCAACGGCAACGCCGCCGCGACTATAACAATACCTCTACTTTTTTTCAAAAAAAAAAAAGTCGAGCAAATAAGAAAACCAGTAAACCTTGTTCGCAGTGAGTTGACGTAAAGCCTTCTGCGCAGATACAAGTATATGTATTCAAACCATCTCGACAAGTGCCGCCATTTTGGCAAATAATTGCTTTGCAGTCGTCGATATCTATAAATATATAAAACATTTTAAAATTTTGTTGCTGTAACATAAATAAACAGATGCTATAACTTGAACACCATTAATGCGAGAAACGTCTTGCTCTTTGTGTTTTTACTTGTAACTATTTTTTATTTCAACGAGTTTCATATGAAAAAGTAAACCACAAACAATAACAGCAACAAGAAAAAACCCCAAACAAAACAATGATAACATCAACTAAAATTCAGCAGCCAACAGTAAAGTAAATAGAGTATCCAAGTCAGACAATATGAACGTGAAAAACTAAACTTGCAGACTGGTCTGTTTTTATCATGATGTTAAAAGGTAGGTTGTCATTGCTTATATTTATAAAGGTTTAATTACTTACGTACCTGTACATGTTTTTTGATCAGTCTGCAACTCATAACCAGAATTACAACTACATTTAAATGATCCTGGGGAGTTAGCGCAATTCTGGGAACAGCCATCGACATTCTGTTTACATTCATCAACGTCTGAAATAAAATATACGTATTGCTCGTTAGTAGCAAAATATATTTAATACATTAATGGAGATTTATCTTTACTAATTGTTTTGCCACGACTTAGTAACTCGTTGCCACGACATAGTATCTCGTGCGCACGAGATAAATAAAACCACACACATGTCACCGTACATATATCATCGCTGAAGGTTTTATTATTAACTGATTAAATAAACCATTTAGGCTACCTTTCATGCCTATTTTTTCCAGTTATAATAAAATGAACCAATGACAGATAGAAAACAACAATAGTCTTAAACAAAGAAGGCAGAACTATGCTGTCATTCCGTCCATATATGTATTAATGCGCTTTCTTCCTTCATCCCGTGGCTATGTTGGTCTGTCTCGTGTGTGCACAATCAACAAACTGATTGCGGAATGTAAAACAGCGTTCCGGAATTCTTTTATGCAAATGCTAAATTATACAGTTTTTAATCCGCAAATTAGACTACTGTATGTCAAACGTTTACACTTATTCCACAACGCACTTAAACCTAAACATCAATTTCAGGAATGTAACGATTTTTATTTAAATTACGCATATCACGACAATTTGTGATGAAATACCTGAGCAAGCGTGTCCGTCTGTTGCAAGTACATAGCCTGAATTACATTCACAGGTGTAGGAACCAGGCGCGTTCACACACACTTGGTCACATGATCCATTACCGGCACTGCACTCATCAACATCTGAAAATGACTAAAATACTTGAATAACCTTATGAAGAAACAAATTCAAAGTTGTATTATATCTAGATGATTCATGCACTTGATAACTTAATCTAAGTTCTGTTTTTTTTCATTCTTAATTTTTTTCACAAGTTAAAATATAGGAGTTATAAATCTTTCTATTTACCTTTGCAAGTTTTACTGTCTGCTGCAAGTACGTAGCCTTTCTCGCATGAACAGAGAAATGACCCGACAGTGTTTATACAGTAAACTTGACAATGTGCCGTGCCGTCAGTACATTCGTCGATGTCTGCAACAAGTTCATAAATTTGATAGAAATAGATTTATAAAACGCACATTAAATATCCACAAAATCTTGGCAGATTTATGGTTGGTGTATGGTTGACGAGGTCGAGCAAAAGAGTAACCCACCAACTTACATGCAGTCACACTAATCAGTCAGTGTGACGTATGAAGGTCATTTATAAATAACTGACAGTACTTTTTCTATTAATATTGATGTTTTAAATGAAAATTTATGTGTTCCAATATTTAGATTAAAAAAGTATTGCATGCAAATTGGATCTTATGCGGAGACAGCGGAAAAACCTTTTGAAGAGATGCAATTTTTCATTTGATTGTGAAAACGCGATGGCACGATGGTGAAAACGCGATGGTACGATGGTGAAAACGCGATGGTACGATGGTGATAACACGATGACACGATGGTGAAAACGTGATGGTACGATGGTGAAAACGCGATGGTACGATGGTGAAAACGCGATGGTACGATGTTGAAAACGCGATGGTACGATGGTGATAACACGATGGCACGATGGTGAAAACGTGATGGTACGATGGTGAAAACGCGATGGTACGATGGTGAAAACGCGATGGCACGATGGTGAAAGCGCGTTGGTACGATGGTGAAAGCGCGATAGCACGATGGTGAAAACGCGATGGTACGATGGTAAAAGCATTATGGTACGATGGTGAAAACGCGATGGCACGATAGTGAAAACGCGATAGTACGATGGTGAAAGCGCGATGGTACGATGGTGAAAACGCGATGACACCACGATGGTGAAAACGCGATAGTACGATGGTGAAAGCGCGATGGTGAAAACGGGATGGTACGATGGTGAAATCGCGATGGTACGATGGTGAAAACGCGATGTAACAATAATGTAATAATTCGAATCCATCTGTACAGAAAGAGCCAGCCGTGTTTGCGCATGCTTGCTCACAACCGGATGTTTTCTCTGTACATTCAACAATCATATAAATATCATCAGTGTAATAGATATTCCGATAAAACCCAGATAAGAATATGATTTTAAAGCTACATTAAATAAATATGTAAAAATCAAACATTCTACAGTTTCATTAACCTGTTAAACAGTATTGTTGTAAATCTCATCAAATATTGTTCATAAATTAGGATTTTAAACGGAAAACCCCACGGTAACACTAAAGTTCGTATACGAATTTTAACATGCAAATGAAGACTATAATCAGCTTGTGTATGCGCTACGTCACAGTTTTATAGTTGCTATCCGGAACACAGCAAATATGATATTTTCTTGTGCAAACACACTTTAACCGTTTTAGCTTCACGGTGCACTAAGCCTGGGGTTCAGTGAAAGTAATCATCTCGTAAAAAGATTAAATTTGTATGAAAACATCCGTTACAATGCGGAAATATACCGTTAAATTAGGACTGCTACTTATAGTCATGTTTGTTGATTTAATATTGATGTACGGATGATCCGAAGGCGGAGTTTCTCATGCAAACAGAAATTGTACTTCATTTCGCCACAACGAGGTTACCGATTTGTATGCTAATAAAACTATTTATTGTTGTCTGGACACCAAAATAAGACCTGGAGTCGATACAAAACCAAATTCATTAATGAAATGTCGATATTTAGGGTTTTTTTTGTTATGAAATTTATTAAAAGTAGCTTTAAGACATGACATGAAAAGTATTTGAGGATTCGAAATTCAATAAATGCCTGAGTAATCTTTTTTAACATCTTCCGCATATAAAGATTGGATAAATATTCATATACCGAGGGACAAAATTGGCCTTGTACAAAAGAAGATTTGGATTGAATGCCAAAAAAAATTATATACAGTATAACATTTAATCGAATTTCTTTTAGATTTACTTTTTTTCAAAGAAAAATAACTGTTTATTCTTCGCTGGAGGTAGCTCACTGTCACAGTGATGAATTCCACTTGTAGATAATTGCTATGGTCAAAACAACTTGATGGTCCCCACCAGCCAAGGGTTAATTATTTTTACGCCTGTGTTCTTTTTAGTACGGTCTAGACATTGAAAAAAGTTTGTACTTTGTTTACGTGTTTGATCACATTGAAGGACAATTGACTTCTGTTAACGAAAATTTCCTTAAGCAATAATAAGGTCTTTCGTGCATGACTTACCTATGCACGTGTGCTTGTCTGGGAGCAGACGATAACCGGTGTTACATGAACACGTGAAAGATCCGTCTGTGTTGCTGCATTTCTGGTTACATTTGTTCAGAGACAATGATGCACATTCATCGGTATCTGAAAACACCATGGGCTATAAATATACGAGCTCTGATTGGTAAAAATCACCATGAGCTATACATATACGAGCTTTGATTGGTAGAATCACCGTGAGCTTTAAATATACGAGCTCTGATTGGTAAAAATCACCATGAGCTATAAATATACGAGTCCTGAAACGTAATGACTTTCAAAAATCATACAAAAAATAAACAAATAAGTTGATAGTAAAATGTTCTTTTTGTATGAAAGTCTACTAAAATGCACTCAATCGTGCCAATTGTAGTTTCACGTATAATCCAATTGTTCATATATAACAGTATGTTTATTTCTATAATTATAGTTCTTTTTATAATCATGGCTTAAAGTACAAGATGGCCGTCTTTTTTGGTCACCATGGAAACCTACTTTGATTAAGCATTCATTAAGATAAAATGATCGCGAACAAAATTTTGCATGATGATCGCCACCATGTCTTTAACACATTAATCATCAATGTGGCAATTATACTTTTACCTAACTTATAAGAAAATACCTATTTCACATCTTGAACCTTTCCAATTGCTCGGACAACTGCATGTGTACGAGTTAGGAATATTGTCACACGTGCCGCCATTTTTGCAAGGGTTACTGCTACATGAATTCATATCTGCAAAAAAAAGATGTGTTTGTCTTACAATTTATATAGTCACATAATTATAATCATTTTTGTAAAGGAAATTTCATCATGCTCAGAAGTTTAATAGTTTAAAAACATAGTAGAGCCTTCCTTTCAAAATAATTTCAATTTGTAGATTCATCACAACTCTTTTGGTGGGGAATAGGGGAAGATGGGGAAAATAAGCACGTTTGTTATTCATTTGACGGGTAATGCTGTTATTTTTTTCGCTCAAAAATAGCAAGGAATATTTAATTTGCAGGTGCGGGGACACTGAGCGGGGTTTCCACAATTCTGTTACTACCACAGGAGAATAATATTCATATCAAAGAGTATGCTTCTCCTCGCATATGGGCTCCCGGGGCGGCTACGTTGTGAAGAACATTCATACATAGTTATAATGTATGATAAGTAAACGTCCCTTCAAAAATTAGTAATTGATATTTGTCTTTTAAGTTAAAAGTTGAAAACGTTTATGTTAAAGATAGAGAAATTTACTGTTTCACTTACATGAACATGTAGGAGGACTACCGGACCACTGAGCGTTGGATTGACAAACACGCCTCAATGTGCCGCCTGTATGTCCGTATTCTGAGTTACACGTGTATGTAGCCACGCCCCCTTGTGTTGTACTAGTCAAGCTCAAACTTGCATGATCAATGCTACCTGGCTGTCCGCAATTAGCTGAAAAAATTGTGGATAAATATTTGTTGAATTATTTTAGCAGTTGTTAATAGTTATTAACATCAGTGATAATGTGACGAAAATAGCACATGGCTTTGATCAGCCGCGGCCGCCATACGATGCGAATACGAGAAAGTGCAGGATAAATATTGTCACCCCACACCATTTGTATCGCGTTTTTGTATTGTCCAATTTTCGACCTTCATGATGATCAGGCAGAAAATATTCTACTTCGACGTCCCTAACACAGTTACTGTAGTTGCCGAAGATCAACGTCCCACGTGATTTGCCGAAGAAACTTTAGAGTTTATTATGAATATCTGTTGAGTTTAGTTATTTATACTATTAATTGATCGTATACTATCTTTTTTAAAAGTTGAAAACATTGTATCGTTTGAACTATTAGAGCAGTCAGCCTTTCTGTCATATGCAGATAAAAGACTTGGCTGAAAACAAGTAGTTAGTGCATATAAGGCTTAGTCATATAATTCGTCGTATTTAATTCATAGAGAGAAATTTGTCACTTATAAAGCAGCTGCAGATATAAAATGTTTGTTAAATACTTACGTGGTGGTGGAGGAGGGGGTGGGGATCTTCTTCTTCTTCTGGTGGCCCACCAATCCCTCTTCACTCGAACTTTCTTTTGTTTGTGCTCAAAAATAAATTCCTTTTGATTGCCTATGTAGACAATAACAATTTTAAAAATTATTGCATAAAACGTAATAAATCGCTTTTAATTGCCAATTTGGAGTTATTTATATATAAAAAAATGACATAAGTGTCTGAAATATAAGTATTTAACGATAAAGGTTTATAAATCTAGTAACAGGTGCTATCGACCATATCTAAATCTATGTAGATACACCATGTGCCTGGAAATCTTTATATAATATCTCCACAATTGACTGACAACTTTTCTGCTAGCGTATTTTAAAATTGTAAAAAAAGATATTATTAATAAAGAAATCTTAAAACCATTGGTGCGAAATAGGGATGAAGCCATGACTTTATTTAAACTCGTAAAAGGAAATCTTTTTTGCGTGCGTTCATAATAAGCGTGAGGCTAATTCAATAAAAGTACTAATTATTGAAAATTAACATAATTATGACATCAAATATAGGTATTTTTGCTAATATTATGTTTCAATTTGTCATCAATTACATAAAACATTAGTCATAGAAAAAATGTCCGTCAATTATTACTGTACATACACTTCTTTTCTACATTGCCTTTCACTTCTTTCCCATCTGGCCCGACCCATCGTCCTCCTATTGTACACTCTGAAGACTTGTATAAACCACACACTTTGTGGGTACAGATGGTTCCCTTGGCGACCTCTGTTCGAGACCCGCCTTTACAATCCAAAGGCACATCTTCAGTGCAGCTGTCAATCTGCTTCAGCTCACAAACATCACATTGTGTTTTCACTCCATTTACCTAAAATTAATCAAAATGAATAAAGAGTTTTTTTTTGTTTGTTTTTTTTAAAGCATAAACAATTATGAGAATTGTTAATAAGGGATTAATTTTCATGCTAACTCCTTGCCGAACCAAACAAATACATTTTTTAAGGATGTTATCATCCATCCCATGATTTTTCCAGATATTTTTTAGTGAAAGAGTTTTGTCATGAAGTGACATATAGATCGATTGGATTAGAGCATCCATCTTTTATGTACCAACTTGAAATTCATTAACCTTTATACTACTGTCCAAATCGCTAAATAGCTCTCTCGCGTAATTTAATATTTATTTTTAAATAAGATGAACATATTGTTCTGAGATATTAGACACTTATTGAAATGCGACGGATCAGTTGATGTATTTCAGCAAAAAGATTTTTTTCAATTTACCTTGTTAATAGCCAGTCCCTTTATAAGCACAATAAAAGTAACAATATGTACGATCCCCCCAAACATTTTGTTCGTTAGAATATTAGCAAAAATATTTGCGTATTTTTATTCAAGTCTCAACCGTACGGTACATTCACCCAAAATGACGAAAACTAAAAATTAAACTGTCACGCAAATTCTCAAACGCTCACGGTCCAAGTGACGACAAAATCTTGACAATATAACGTTCTGGCAATCCTTAAAAGTAATAGTGAAATAATTTAAACGCATCATTAATACATTTAAATATATCTTCCTTTTTGCTCCACCAATTAAAAAATTGTGGCTCAAAATAAACAGGTCTCTTAAACAACGATCTCTTATATTCTCTGAGTATATAGAAAAAAACGAATTTATTGCCGCTTAGAATTTGATTTACAGAAATTTACTGCAATACCTGCAACCCTAACCTACACTTCTTTTTTCGTATCTAGAATAATTTATGATATTTATGCAAAAGGCACTGTAGTAATAAAAATGGATTTTTATCGGCATTTTTTGTGCCTTAAAAATAACAACAAAAAAACTTGCAAGCATATGTGCAAGCAATAGATTGTTTCTCAATTCTGTGATCTCCGCAAATACATTTCAGATTCCCTTTATCAACAGGCAATGCTTTGTTTGTAAATAGAGCTATAAGAAATTAACAGTCATTGCATTTAAGCATTGTAAAGCATACAGTCAAATCCTACTGAACAGACATGCTGGCTAGCCAGGTTCGTACAAGTAGTCCTATAACATAAGACCTTTCCGTTAGTACTACGTACATACCAGCGTCTTATCGACTTCTTCATTAGTTCCTTTAGCAAAACGCGTTATGAAGCTATGACAGTAAAATCTGACTCTTTGTACTTAATAACAAATTCCCACAAATCAGGTTTATATGTTACTTGATCACAGTCTTTGTTCTGATATTTTTTGTCAAATGAAATAGTGTTGATAATAAAAATGAACAAGATTAATGGCTCGGTTTAAAAACAGTTACTGTTATGCCAAGATTTCAAATACAGATTTTTGCGACTCAAGCAAATTCAGTACAGTCAGTGCCTGGAACAAAACTCTTCACTACTGTACTTTAGTTCGAAGCTCTTAAGTGCTGATTATACTGAAACAAAAAAGTTTCAAAACTCTTAAATCATTAAGGATTTTTCTATACGTGTACCAATTATATCAAGAAAAACAAATATTTGTCAATCCAGCTTGTGTCTGACACTTTTATTGTTTGTCGTAATGCTAGCCAATGACTGCTATCATGTCCCTCTTGTAAACAAATAGTTTACGGCACACATTATAAATCTTCACCAAAAAATGCAAAATGACAGTGGTCGGATATGAGGTAGGCAATTTATTCTTTATTACATTACATAAAAAACTATTTACGTATTAAAAATATTCAAATTATTCAGTAAGTGAAGCCGTTTAAAGCATGAATATAAATTTTAACTTTGCCGTGATATCATGATTATATAATTTTCATGCACGAGTATATATTGCATTTGTAACGTGATTAAGTTAAAATGTTAAATTGTTGTTGATAAGTTTTAAAGTGACGTTATGTCCATCCAAGGGTATATAGTGAGTGAACAGATGAATATAAAAATAAGTTACATTTTGCCATAATACCTTTTAAATTTAATAATTTACTTCCCATAAACAATAAATAATGCACAGATCCAAATAAAATTTCTGTAAATATCTATTATAGAATTTACCACTAACGCTCAATTTATAAAAAGAGTGGGGCAGTCTTTTTATATTTTTGGCAGATTTATAATTTTATCCTGAACGTTTTCCAATATCAACTGTTGGTCAAACACCATTTTAACAGTCAATCTTTTGAAATATAAAATTCCGGAAACAAAGTGATCTCTCGGAAGCATTAATCACAACAAAATTACAAGAGAATTGCAGACTCGGTTTGATTGAGTCTGTACATGAGGGATAATGAATAAGTGCAACATCCCGCACGCCCCTAGCACCGGCTTGAGCGGTACTCAATTCTCAACACTTAATAGTGCTGGCATCAATGATCCCGAAGGACCAGAAACTATAGCAACACTGAAGTGAAGTACGGGGCAACTTTTTACGGCTGCCACACGGCACTTGACACCTGCTGTTGTGAAGTATAAAATTCTGGAAACAAAGTGATCCCTCGGAAGCATTAATCACAACAAAATTACAAGAGAATTGCAGACTCGGTTTGATTGAGTCTGTACATGTAACTTTAAAGTCAGTAAGTCTACAATGGGCACAAATTACAAGAGAATTGCAGACTCGGTTTGATTGAGTCTGTACATGTAACTTTAAAGTCGGTAAGTCTACAATGTGCACAAATTACAAGAGAATTGCAGACTCGGTTTGACTGAGTCTGTACATGTAACTTTAAAGTCGGTAAGTCTACAATGGGCACGTTTTCCATTAGTATTTCAAATGTTGATAAAAACAAATATACATGCATTTTTATTGTTTTTATCAACATTCGAAATACTTATGGAAAATGTGCCCATTGTAGACTTACCGACTTTAAAGAATTATCCTAACATTCCTATAATGATTTTGTCAATATACGAAATAAAGCGAAACCGGTGTTAAACTGCCAATAAGCACTGAAAAGGGACTGATAGATATATGCAGCTGCTTTTACAACCTCCTTCCAATAAAGCCTTTTTAAGGCAACAATAATAACGCATTTTATTGATATATCCAATTATTCATGTTTTCTTCTCATTTGATACTAAAATTACAACTCACATACACTAACGCCACAGGTTTTATCCATATATGTTGGAAAAGATTATATAAGCAGCGAAAGCAGCGTAATGATGTCATCCTAAGTATGCAGTGCATTCATAAAGACGTCAAATGACGTCATTTCAAACTGACAAGAGTGTGGTTTAAAGAATGATTAATCAAGGAATGATGTTTACTCAATACAATCCAGTCTGACTCGTAATTCTAAATTGTTGAAAACTTGATAAATAATTATTTGATTATAAGGTGATTTCTGTTTGTTTGTTTTGTCTTAATATTATTTATATTTGTCAAAATAATATCGGTCTGGTATTGGTCGACTTAGATTTTGAAGTCGTGACTTCTGTCTTCCTTTTTATAGCTACAACTTCGAAGTGAAGATTTTATACACAGTTAATAAAGACATTGAATTTTGAGATCAGTTGACATAAATTGTGACCCAGTAACTTTTTTTTTATTTTAAAGATATTTCAAAAACTTGAAATTTGACAGTGTCTCGTTTCAGAAACAGAATTAACTTTGATATAAGTTGACATAGAATTTGATCTTGTAGCCTAGCTTCTTGTTTAAGGAGCTACATCTATGTAATTAAGTCTATAATAGAGTACCAGACAATATTACATACATATTTTTACTAACAAAAAAGTAAACATCTTAAATGTTTTCTACTATGATTACAAAATTTACTGTAGAATAAAGAAAGTTAAATTACACATCCTCTATATCTACCGTTGAATCAGGGAAGAAAACATTATTTGAAAATGCAGTAAATATATTGAAAAACAAGAGCCCGGTTTGAGCCGGGTGATGCTCCCCGAATAGGTTTTGGACACAGGAAAGTACACCTCTTGTAGTTTCAGAGTTATGTCCCTGTAAAAAGTTCAAAGTGCAATAATTCCAAAATTAGGCAAGGCAGAGTTACTGTTCTTTGCACTGCACTTCTAATCAATGTGATCTATCAACCTACAAAGTTTCTTGTTGATATCTCTTATGGTTTCCGAGTTATGTCCCGGACAACTTCAAAAAGTAAAAAATAAACAAAAGGCAATAACTCCAGAATTAGGCAAGGCAGAGTTATGATTCTTAAGCACTGCACATCTACCCATTGAGATAGTTTCATGTTGATATCTCTTATAGTTTTACAGCTATGTCCTGGACAAGATTTTTCTAAAAGGGGAGATAATTCAAAAATGAGGCTTAACAGAGTTATGGTTCTTTTGCACTGCACTTCTACTCAATGAGATCTATCTACCTACAATGTTTCATCTTGATATCTCTTATAGTTTTAGAGTTCCGGACAATGTTCGGACAAAGTTCAAAGTGTTAAAATTAACAAAGGGCAATAACTCCAAAATTAGGATAAAAATAGTTATTGTTCTTATGCAATGCACATCTACCCATTGAGATCTATTCACCTACAAAGTTTCATGTTGATATCTCTTATAGTTTTAGAGTTATGTCCCGGACAAGATTTTTCTATAAGGGGAGATAATTCAAAAATCGGACAAAATAGAGTTATGGCTCTTTGACATTGCACTCCCCCTCAATGCCCTCTACCACTGTATGAAGTTTAAACAAATTATCTCCAAGGGTTTTCAAGTTATGCTCCGGACAAGACAACGGACGGACAGACGGACGTTCCAACATTTTGGGTTTAGGGGCTATTTTCTTTGTTATTTTCTTTGTTTTCTTAAGGGCTACTAGCCCATAAACCCTTTGATCACGGAATGAACCTATTGTTCTCTTTTGTTCTCTTTACTGTTATATAGCCCCTAAACCCAAAATGTTTGCTCGGACAGACGGACGGACGGACGTTCCAACATTTTGGGTTTAGGGGCTATTTTTTTGTTATTTTCTTTGTTTTCTTAAGGGCTACTAGCCCATAAACCCTTTGATCACGGAATGAACCTATTGTTCTCTTTTGTTCTCTTTACTGTTATATAGCCCCTAAACCCAAAATGTTTGCTCGGACAGACGGACGGACGGACGTTCCAACATTTTGGGTTTAGGGGCTATTTTTTAGTTATTTTCTTTGTTTTTTTAAGGGCTACTAGCCCATAAACCCTTTGATCACGGAATGAACCTATTGTTCTCTTTTGTTCTCTTTACTGTTATATAGCCCCTAAACCCAAAATGTTTGCTCGGACAGACGGACAGACGGACCAGGCGCCGACTATATGCTCCCACGAAATTTTTCGGGGAGCATAAAAACTGTACTGTTTGGTCTATCCGTCACATGAACGTCTACGGCTAAGGAAATCACGAATGATGCATATTGTAATAATCTATAATGTCGTATATCATGAAATTGTTACTCCATCTCTATTGACAGTTGTGACTGCATCATGTTGCGTTCTTGTTGTTGCAATATTCGCTACGATTGGCGCATATCTTTACATAAAGGCCAGGTTTGTCATTTTATAATTGTTTCTTTAGAAAAACACTGTCATTCATTACAAACCATTCCTATTAATATTTTTTTATATTAAAAACGTCATGACGTCAAAATCAATGTAAGTCAATGAATGACGTCATTA